TTCCCTACATATAATTAAGAAGTATTTTTCAAAAATGTTTGACCACAGCACACAGTGAAAAATACACACACATACACACAGTTTCACAAGAGAGTACTTACCATTACTATACAAGAAATACAATGATATTTCTATTTCATTTTCCAAAGATGCTGGTCACCCCCCACTGAAATGATTTCACTTCTCTTTAATGGGTTGTAACCGAGTTTGAGAAACTGCCAGTTTTTGTTTATTTTATAATTTTCCGACCTTCTCCCTGTGTCAGGAAGACACGCCATCTCTCAGGGACTTGCTACTTCCAGAAATCCTCTGCAAAGGCCCCAGACACCTTGAAACCCCCTAGCCTCATTGGTGAGTCTGGCCCATCAGGACACTGGACTCCTGGCTCTGTCCTCTCTGGGGGACTGAGGTGTGCAGAAATGCTGTTGTCAAAGGTAACAGCACGTGGGCTTCTCCACTGTCACTCGCTTAAACTGGGATGGGACACACATACCTGGGTGACTTGGGGTTCCCGTCTCTGCATAGAAACGCCTGAGCAGCTTCCGCCAATCCGCCTTCGTAAGTTAATATTGGGATCTGCCTCTTCAGAACACCTTGAAAATAAAGGCAAGGGGTGGAGCCATCAACCCTAGTGCTACGTTTGGGGAATTCATTTTGGCTTTTCAAAAGCTTCTTTGGCAAGTATCCATTAGTTACCATTACTGAATGACATCTACCTGTAGAATACTTTGCTAGGTAAGCCAAGACCTAGACACAGAGGATACTGAAGTCTACTTTCAGTCCTGAGTAAACCCTAGAGCTGGCCAGCATGGGAGTGGAATCGGGCTAGTGTCACCAGTCTTGTGGGTGAGCAAAATATGCTGCACACAGATGCCCGCAGTACCATATGACCAGAGCCCTATTCTGGCCCACTGCCATCGTGAGTGCTGGGGACACGGTTAGGTGCCCTTGGTGACAGTGAGCCAGCTCTCTGCTAAGCATGTGACATGCAGACTCTTAATTTTCACAACAATTATGTGTGATAAGAACCATTATTTCCCCATTTTACAGAGGAGGAAAACTGAGGCTCAGCGATGTTAAATAACTTGGGCAAAGCCAAGTAGGTAGATTGGTGTCGTGACTAGTTCCCAACTTAAGTTCTCATCTGCTCCCCAACCCCACCCCCTTGACTATCTTCAGGGAAGTTCAAGGAAACAGAGGAAAAATCCCAGAGTCTGGGCCTTGAATTAATTACTGGCATCAAGTGATTTCCAAAGTGAATTTGACTCTTAAAAATAGCACACTTTCGGGCTTCCCTGGTGGCGCAGTGGTTGAGAGTCCGCCTGCCGATGCAGGGGACATGGG